TGAAGTAGAGTTAACAAGTTTTTGTGTCAACGGCAGATGAAATGTGGCCAGCACTACGCCCAATCGTCTTTATTTTCCCTTATGTAAGCCGTGTACCAATTGGAGCTGGGGTGGACTCAGGGGCGGTCTTGTACCCGAATTCGAACGTGAGACATACTGGTTAGCAGCCTAGCTCTCTACCGTCTCACTTTGCTATGTATTATTCACCTGATACAATTATTTTCTTTGGTTGTACTTAAGAAGTGCATGATTTTATATCACAGGTAATTTTAACTAAATTATAAAGTCTGCTAATAATCAAACAATCCATAAAAATCAGAACCGTCTCTCTACAATGCACTTTTTCTAGATTATTTTAGAGGATCATTTCGCACGGTTTAAGTGCTTTATAAAACATATTGAAACTAATAATTTTAATTGCTAGTATTATGTCATATTTACATGTGTTGATGTTTATCAGTCACTGGTATGATATCCGCGTCGCTTTGAACTTCAGTCATCATAAGGAAGGTCACGTGGGGTCGAGGTTGTTTGATACGAGAACCGCTTGAATGACGACAAAAATTAGCTCATACGCCGCCATCTTGTTTTCTGTTCTATTGACCTGGATAAATCAGACTGTTTTGTAATAGTCTTTTTTTTTCTTTAAATTACATTTTGGTACATGCATTATAAGTCGCTTTTAAAAACTGGCTTTACTGTGGATCGGTTATTATAAAACGTATTTTAGGACTTAATGAAAAAAAATATAATTTAAATAAAAATTATTTAATGTAACAAGTTAACTTCCCCATCCCCAACCACCCCGGTTGTCATAAACCCACATATTACACAATATTACAATATTTACATATCAACGGTGCTTTGTTGGTAAGGATAATATGACGTTATAAACAATCAGTATTGTTATTGTTATGTTTGTAACAAAGAGTATTATGTAGATATACAAAAGACAATAACAGAACAGCATGTTGAAAAACTTTAAACGTATATAAAGACATGTAAATAAAATTAAAAAATAAAAGATGTGAACAGTTTTAAATACTTACTTTGTTGAGGTGGTGAAAACACAAAGTGATGCACAAGCCCTATAATATTTTACAACCGCCGCCTTACCGTGTGTTTCACATTTTTCGTACATTCACTTTAACAGCAGGGGTCTAAGGATCACCGCTACCAGACAGATACCTAAAGTTACTCAACCATCACACTGTGTAGACATGACTAAGGCAGCTAACTGCCTATTTATGTTTTTAAAATGTTATCAATGTGTGTTTTAAATATTAGAGTTTTTGTTAGAAGTTACTTATACAAGATAGAAGTCAATGATCGAAATGCAGAAGAGTATAATACTTACCAATATAATATAGACTTTGTATTCGTTGAGGGCTGGTATACAGAAACAAAACATCCGAACATTATGACAAATAGACACACACACACAAGTTCAAATTCGGGTTCAAGTCAGTAGTACGTCTCTGTCCACCCAGCTCTGATGGGTACCTAACTCACGTTAGGGAAAGTACAGGCGGCTGGGCATTGTGTTGACCAAACTATCCTTTGATACGCTGTAGTCACATAACTCTACTTCACTTAGTCACAGAACTCTACTTCACTTAGTCACAGAACTCTACTTCAGTTAGTCACAGAACTCTACTTCACCTAGTCACAGAACTCTACTTCAGTTAGTCACAGAACTCTACTTCACCTAGTCACAGAACTATACTTCACCTAGTCACAGAACTCTACTTCACTTAGTCAACTGACCGTCAGGTTAGACAAGGGAATTGTATTTTTCTGACTCTGCTTGTACTTTTAATGGGTAATAATACATCACAAGTTAATCCTTAGGATTTGAGATCGATCTTTGGGTAGTGTTTTGTAAAAACATGTACAGGTAGCGCCTTTACATTAATGTATACATACATAAAGCTGTGTTGTATATCTATAATGATTTAAAATGAAGAGTACTTTTAAAATTTCAATCTAGATCTTCTTTGGACATGGGTGTTTTGTTAATATTTTTTGTGCTAAGTATTCTGTTAATTGGTTTCACATTTTTAAAGCTTGTACAATACACAACAATAATGCGAAACGGGCCAACATTAAAAGGTATCCTACGGATATATTGAAAGTGGCGGCTTGGTCCTAGCGGTAGAGCGCAAGGCTGTTAACCCGAAAGTCTCCAGTTCAATTCCGGAATTTCCGGTTCCTAGTGAGTACAACTTTTCTGATTCAATCTAGCCAGATTTATGTTGTCCTAGATTAGCTGTTAAGTGCTAACCAACAATGATGCTAAGTAACCTAATCTAATCAATTAAAAAACTACTAAAATCTACATTTTCCTGAACTCTATAATTAACAACAGACATGACATTGTATTTAAGGCTATAAACACTGCAACCGTGAACTAAAATCCCGGTCACAAGGATCGCCAAGTATTTTAGCATATTCTGTATACATCATACATAATTAATAAGATAATCTTTGTTGCTCGTTCCTCAGATAATTTTCAACGTCTGTCTTACAGGATCTCATTGTCGTAGACCAATAAACTACAACATTAAAATGCGATAAAAGCCCATAAAATAACATCCCATTAAGGCATGTAAACAACATATGGTATTCTACTTCCCCCCCCCCCCCCCCCCCCCCACGTATGTTCATTTTAAAGCCTGTGAAATTATTCTTTAAAAATAAATTTATGAACTTTAGTATGTATTTAGTTTAAAGAAAAAAACTAAAACTTTACTAATTGTTAAGACAGTGAATGTTTTATTTTTGTTTTGATTTTTTTCCTTTTAAATATGTATTTTTAGTAATCAGAAAAGATGTCAATATCTGTAGCAATCCCCTTAAAAGTGTGACAGGTGTGTCTTTAGGTGAGTCAAAAACCATCGTTCACCGGTCCGGACGCTAAGCGTACCCCATCAGTTCTGGTTCTAAGGACGGTTTAGCGGTGCTGTGGCCTACGCGGGATCCGAACCTGGACCGTCGGCCGGGGTTAGTTTCGCTCGCTTGTTGGGCATTTCCTGTAACTCGCTCATCTCTTGCTGGCGCCTTCTGGCTTGTACCAGCCCCAGGGCAATCCTCTCAGTCTCCGGGTCAGAGAAGTAGGCGGTGGCCTGTAGTGTGGTAAATATGGGGTAGGGTAGGGAGGTGGGGGGGGGGGGGGGTAAAGATGTTTTCATAATTAATCATACATGAGGTTGTATTTAGTCAATCGACGCTCACTGGTTACTATATACTTTACACACACACACACAGACACATATATATATATATATATATATATATATAAATGTATATATATATATATAAATATATATATATATATATATATATATATATATATATATATATATATATATATATATATATATATATATATATATATATATATATATATATATATATATATATATATATATATATATATATGTATATATATAAGTAGTATAGTAGGTCCCTTTTGAGTCGTTTTTGTGCAGACATGTTTATATAGTAAAATATTGAGCAGCCAGAGCAGACATGTTATATAGTAAAATACTCCAGCTGGAGCAGGTGTTCCCCTCCTCCTATTGTCTTCCGTGACGCTCCATTACGGCCGCGACGACAAACAATAGAGTATCGATTTTTTTTTATTTTTTTTTTGAAAGATATGTTTAAATAGTCATTAAAAATAATTTATTCAGCTAGGCTTGCTTTACAATAGGCCATATTTCTCATACAGTTGATCTATAAATAGCCGTTACTATTTACTATCAGTCTGTTTTTGTCCTCTGTTTTTCGTCTAGTCGTGTTAATTATGTTAAGTGTGATTGCTTTATTTGTTGTGGGTGTTTGATTGGTGGTTTTTTAATATTTAGTATATTAGAAGTATTATATTTAAGTGCTAGGTTGTTGGTTTATTGTACGTTTATGTACATAGTTGAGGCTATGGTGTAATCACGACTTTTTAAGTTTTCCTAGTGACGATTTCTTTCTAAAATAGTGACCAGGGCTAGACATCAAAGAGTATATTAATCAATTATCTTTAAAAAAAAATTTAAAATAATTATTTTATTTAGCAAGGCTTGACTATATTCCTTATTTCTCATCCAGTTGATCAATATATAAACGTTACTACCAGTCTGGTTTTTTTTTTTTTTTTTTTTTTTTGTCCTGTGTTCTTTGTCTAGTCCGAGTCGTGTTAATTAAGTTTAGTGTGAGTGCTTTATGTGTTGTGGTTGTCTTCTCTTGGCTTGTCTGCTTCGTAGAGTTGTTATATTTTGATTTGATAAAAGCTGTTTGAAAAAAGATTATTATTATTTATTTATTTTTTTGTGGTCGGCGGGTTCTTTCTTCTTGAGGAAACATAATATTGACTTGATCAATCATTAATGAAGACATTGAATAATTAGCGTCTTTAGAATAATTAGACCATAGTCTGCGCTATTGCTGTAAGGTCGTGTTAGGTTAGTTCCTTGCCCATTTCAGGATTATCTTTTATAAAGTGACGGTACAGTTAGACCACTAATCCGAAAGTCTAGAGTTCAAATCCTGTTTCAAGATAGTAGCCCTGAGTTCACCCAGCTCTGATGAGTCCCAATTCACGTTAGGAAAAGTAAAGGCGGCTGCGTATAATGCTGGCCACACTACCACTTCATATACCATTTGGTCTAAAGAGGAAACTTTTTTTTTTTAAGAATATTTCATCATCAGTATTTTTATCTTTTTTTAATAATATTTTTATTTCTATTTTTTGTTTTATTTTTAATAGTTATACAACAGCCAACAGAACAAATAGAATTATTTAATAAAGACATCCTTGTATATCAAATGCTCTCCCTTTAAAAATTATGTAACGACTTTTAAAGTAATGACAAAATGGTGAGTTGACACGGTGGTAATCCGATAAAATATATTCAAAACACACTCACGTCATTCACTTTATTGATTTTTAAGGAACACAATGGCCCTAAAACTCCACCCTTTTGTATTCCGTGAGGACAAAACTATTGTGCGCAATCGTGGCGTGTGAGTATAGAACAATAGCTATACCCCAACGCTCATGGACGGCTAGATAATTAGTGATGCATCTTTTCCGCGAAGCGAGCCGTGAATTGAAAGAAATTAGCTTTTTGACTTTATGTATCAAGCAGGTGACGGGGTATTTTTTCTTTGTAAACCAAGGATGGTAGTGGGGTTCAATGACCTCCAAATCTGCGTGACGCACGCTTGCATAATTAGACCAATTATAGAATGATAGTCAGGATTTTTTCCCCACGCGTTCATAAAGTATAAATTCAGACGAAGTTTTACTTTAAACACTACTGCTCAGCACTGCAAAGCATCTACACGTCCACCTAACTAGCTACACAACCAGCTACCCTGCTACGGACCGAGCTCACTCCAACTTAGACATTCACATCATCCAGCACTAAGGTAAGGTTAATATTATTTATTTATTTTTTTATTTATAATTTTATTTTTTGCTTTTAAGGGAGTTAACGCCATTAATAAAGATATACCATTTAATTAAATCTTATTGTACACCCGACCCACCAACTAGTCCACTAATAAAAAAATAAGCTTAGACCCTTTAATTAAGTCTTATTTATTTTTTAAATAAGTAGTCAAATATATTCGCTTTTATTTTTATTGTACAGCCAACCCAATTACTGAACAAGGCATTGAGCTAGCCACCCAGCCGACCCAAACACATCCAGCTGCCCAGTCACATACAACTAACCTGCTACGGACCGATCTCACACCTAGTTAGACATTAAAAGGTAAGGTAAATATTTTAATGGATTTAACCCCGCTAATAAAAATACGATTTTACCCTTTAATTATCTTATTTATGTTTTAAATAAGTTTCAAATGTATTTACTTTAATTTGTATTGTACAATCGACCCACCCACTAGACCACTAATAAAAAATACGCTTATACTGCCTTATACCCTTTAATTAAAGCTTATTTATTTTTTAAATAAATAATCAAATGTATTCGTCTTAATTTTTTTTTTTTTGTACAGCAGACCCATCCAGCCGACCCAACCACATCCAGCTACCCAGCTATGGCCCGATACACATGTGACATATGTGAACGTACATTCAGCCGTAAAAAAAATTTGACACAACATTGCAAGACTGTACACGGCCGAGAAAGGCATCGATGTATAGAATGCTGGCAAGAATTTACAAGAAAATTTAATTTAACGAGACACTATAGGATAGTGCACACCAACCTACTTACACCAACCGATGCCCCATCAGCATCCGACAGACAAACCGAACAACCGACATTAACATCTGACAGACTAACTGAACAACCTACATTAGCAAACGACAGACAAACAGACAACCTACCTATACAATTAAAGAGACAAAGGACCTATGACGACACAACAAACAAACGCCTAAAGACATCTCACAACGACAGTAACGTTAATTTAAACACCGACGCTATACTTGTAGATGACCTAAGGGGAGATGTGGTAGACCTACATTTAGAGGACGTGAACGACTTAGACTTACCGTTAGACGAAATTGACACCCTTTATAACCTAAACAGCGAATTACAAAACATATACATTGACAATTGGCACTCCATACAGACACATACAACTACAGGCAAACATTTATCCAGATTCAATTTTTTTCACAACCCACTACACACTACTCCAATAGATTGGGATACAAAACTTGTAGATACCATATTTAACACACAAACTAAGCGGTTCAAAATAAATTATAGTCACCATACCATTTTAAAACATAAAGAAACAGGAGAATATAGGTTTTTTCACTCAAGTAACAACAATGCATGCGTCTTAGAGCTTCCTAAATTAATTAACAATAGAGTAGATTTTAAAGATTTTTTAGAACACTTAAACACATCAGACATTCTAAATTACGCACAACACAATAGACCGAATACAAAATACGCTGTTGAGATCATTCCAGCCACCACATTCTATCTCTATCACCTCAATGAATTTCCCATAGGATGACCTCTCACAAACATCCCGATTTTATTAATCCTTAAACCACAACACACTAGACAAATAGGCATTTATACTAGTCCTCACGATAAAGGAACCGGGTGATGTAACAAATACAGGTTTCAGGGCATTCAACACAGGGATTTATACATACACGCAATACAGAAACGCACTTTCTTACATTTATATTAAAAGACAAGTACAGTCAGACAATGTGACAACATCTCCCCTAAACATATAATGCTTTGACATTTATAAATTTAACCATGACTTTAACGACACCTTATACTAATGTAGATATATAAATAACACATTTTTATGACTGTATGTTAATGGGGTTGTTTTTAATAAATAAAATTTAAAATACATTTTAAATCGCCTTTTGTGATTAATTGTGTTTGTTAATTGTGCATGAAGTATAACTTGTATTTACGAAACAATATACCACAAAGCATCCAGCGAAGCCTAAAAGCGCTACAATCCTGCCCCAGTTAACACCATCAGAGAAGGTTTCATCAACTATTATTTTAAAAGTATCATAAGCGTTGTTATCAGTAATATTAAGCTGTTCAATCAAATCATTGAATCTATTTCGAAAGCGTTCCTCAAATTCATCACCAAGATTACGCATTGCCGCTTGGACAACATTTGGAGTAACACTACTTTGTCGCCCATCATTTTCCCACTGAAAACCTTCCTTCGCTACTCGATGTTTGATATAATCCATTACTATCGAACGAGTATTATAAGATTCCATGTTTTCAGACAATTCACTCGAACTTAACACATCTGTTTTTAAAAAACCATCTCAAACTTTAAATGAGATTCATTTATATTACACAAAAAACAAAAATACCTAATTCAGCAAACAAAAAAAAGTGAAGACCTTTTGTTATTCGTAGCAACTAAATCGCCAACCAATCTTACGGCCACCTGCATAATCGATCAAATTATAGAAAGAACGTGGTTTGCATCGCAAATTTAAAAACATGGCGATGTTTACCTATGCTTACAGACCTCAACCAAAAAAGGCAATGAAACTATAAGAAGGAGGAATATATATATCTTAGTCATGCAGCAGATTACCTGCCCATGTTCGCTTTAGTATTACAGTTTTCATTTAATTTCTTTTTGACTTGAACTTCTTTAATTTAAGAAGGTTTACTTATACATAATACATTACGTCTAATTACATTTTATTTATTTTTATTACTCAATGTAGTTTGTTTTTTCTATATCTTGCATTGTCATCTTAATTTTTGATCACCTTAGTAAAAATTTGCTTAAGATTATAAACTTCAAGTTTTAAAAAACATCAACGTTATAGTACGTCGTGTCAAATGACACACCGTTTAAAATGTCTACATTTAAAGTTCACCAACATAATGACGTAAAAACTAAATATGATATGCCGTTAGCATACATATCATTCAATCTAATCACTCTAAAGTACAAATCAATAATTTTTATTGATTAAGGGGCTGGGTGAGTTATTTTTATTCGGGTGCCCAGGGAAGGTTTGGGGTTGGTTGGGACAGATTTTATACACGAGTCGGTGACGTTTTCACCGAGGCAGGGTTCGAAGCTAGACCATGCATGTTTTGGAATTGTTAGGGTTCGAGTCTATAGTAGGGTCGGGGGAGTTTTCACCTAGACAGGTTGCAAAGTTGGTACATCCATGTTTTAGAATCGATAGGTAGAGAGTTTATACGAGAGTCGTGGGAGTTTGTATTTCTCTGAAGCGTGTTTCAATGTTGGGACATCCATATTTTGGAATTGGATGAGGTAGAGTTTATACTAGGGACGGAGGTGTTTTGGTTACACCGAGGGTGGTTTCGAAGTTGGTACATGCATGTTTAGGAATTGTTGGTAACCGAGTTCATACTAGTGTCGGTTAAGGTTGGTTTTGAACTCGGAACATGCGTGTTTTGGAATCGGTAGGTGTAGAGTCCATACTAGGGTCGGTGAAGTTTTCACCGAGGCAGGTTACAAAGTTGGGACATGCATGTTTAGGAATTGTTGTCAGTCGAGTTCATACTAGGGTCGGGGGAGTTTTGTTAACACCGAGGCAGGTTGCAAAGTTGGTACATGCATGTTTAGGAATTGTTGGTAGCCGAGTTCATACTAGTGTCGGTGAAGGTTGGTTTTGAACTCGGAACATTCATGTTTTGGAATCGGTAGGTGTAGAGTCCGTAATAGGGTCGGTGAAGTTTTCACCGAGGGAGGTTACAAAGTTGGGACATGGATGTTTAGGAATTGTTGTCAGTCGAGTTCATACTAGGGTCGGTGAAGTTTTCACCGAGGTAGGTTTCAAAGTTGTTACATGTATGTTTAGGAATAGATGAGGGGCAGAGTTTATACAAAGTTCGGAGGTGTTTTGTTAACACCTAGGTAGGTTTCAAAGTTGTTACAGGTATGATTTAGAATAGGTGAGGGGTAGAGTTTATACAAAGGTCGGAGGTGTTTTGTTAACACCTAGGTAGGTTTCAAAGTTGTTACAGGTATGATTTGGAATTGATGGGGGTAGAGTTTAAACTAGCGTCGGGGGAGTTTGGGTTTCACAGAGGCGTGTTTCAAACTTGGTACATGGATGTTTTGGAAGTGATCGGGGAAGAGCTTATACTACCGTGGGATGGATTTCGTTTTCACCAAGACGGGTTTCAAACTGGGACCATCGATGTTTCGGAATTGGTTGTGTTAGAGTTTACACTAGAGTGGGACGGTCTTTGTTTTCAACAAGACAGGTTTCAAAGTTGGTACATGGATGTTTGGTACAGGACTGTTTTGGAATCGGTGAGGCAAAGTTAAACTAGGGTCAGGGGAGTTTTTAACAAGGCTGGTTTCGAAATTGGGCCACGAATGTTTCGGAGTTGGATGGGAACGATGTCACTTGTAACATTAGTTGAATACAGATACAAGTTTGTCTGTTACTTTGTCCTTTGTCTGTCCAAGTAATAGTGTGGGTAGAGGCAGGGTCTGTTTATCTAGCGGGTGTTTAGGGATGGGGCGAGGGCGGCGGACATAGGTGGCTAGGCTGCAAGAGATATTCAACGAGGAGTGGTGTCTATAAGTTAAATATCCCAGTCTGTTGGAGTAGTGTCTAGAAGTTGTGATATTAGTTAAATAAATATTTGTCTGTAAGATTGTCATACATCCTTTGTCTCTTAAATGGAATAGAATGGGTAGTGGTACGGTCTGTGTATCTAACGGTTGGTATTGAGGTTAGGAATGGGAGAAGGGGAAAGGGGTTGCGGACAAAGGGAAGGGGAAGGGCGAATAGTGATAAAAATAACTCACCCAGCCCCTTAATCAATAAAAATTATTGATTTGTACTTTAGAGTGATTAGATTGAATGATATGTATGCTAACGTCATATCATATTTAGTTTTTACGTCATTATGTTGGTGAACTTTAAATGTAGACATTTTAAACGGTGTGTCATTTGACACGACGTACTATAACGTTGATGTTTTTTAAAACTTGAAGTTTATAATCTTAAGCAAATTTTTACTAAGGTGATCAAAAATTAAGATGACAATGCAAGATATAGAAAAAACAAACTACATTGAGTAATAAAAATAAATAAAATGTAATTAGACGTAATGTATTATGTATAAGTAAACCTTCTTAAATTAAAGAAGTTCAAGTCAAAAAGAAATTAAATGAAAACTGTAATACTAAAGCGAACATGGGCAGGTAATCTGCTGCATGACTAAGATATATATATTCCTCCTTCTTATAGTTTCATTGCCTTTTTTGGTTGAGGTCTGTAAGCATAGGTAAACATCGCCATGTTTTTAAATTTGCGATGCAAACCACGTTCTTTCTATAATTTGATCGATTATGCAGGTGGCCGTAAGATTGGTTGGCGATTTAGTTGCTACGAATAACAAAAGGTCTTCACTTTTTTTTGTTTGCTGAATTAGGTATTTTTGTTTTTTGTGTAATATAAATGAATCTCATTTAAAGTTTGAGATGGTTTTTTAAAAACAGATGTGTTAAGTTCGAGTGAATTGTCTGAAAACATGGAATCTTATAATACTCGTTCGATAGTAATGGATTATATCAAACATCGAGTAGCGAAGGAAGGTTTTCAGTGGGAAAATGATGGGCGACAAAGTAGTGTTACTCCAAATGTTGTCCAAGCGGCAATGCGTAATCTTGGTGATGAATTTGAGGAACGCTTTCGAAATAGATTCAATGATTTGATTGAACAGCTTAATATTACTGATAACAACGCTTATGATACTTTTAAAATAATAGTTGATGAAACCTTCTCTGATGGTGTTAACTGGGGCAGGATTGTAGCGCTTTTAGGCTTCGCTGGATGCTTTGTGGTATATTGTTTCGTACATAATAAAAGCCATTTGGCGGATAATGTTGTTGAATGGGTTACCTCATATATCGACACTAACTTACAAGAATGGTTGACGTCTAATGATAAATGGGTAAGAATAGTTTCTATTTGCATACATCATAATATCAAATTTATATCACCTGTTAAGAAGAATCTAAATCAGTATATTGACTTGTTTTAACTGATACATTTGAACAACAGAATATTGATTAATTCAAATTTATGTGCTGTGTTTTCATTAGAATGCATATTGCGTTTAGGATAATTGTTATGTATGCTACAGCTATATTTTATCTCTATCATCTTTTATCACCCCTCTCCCCATGACTTTAAAGTATACTGATTACCCATCTTCAAGATAGAGAAATTAAGAAATTGAGTCTCTCTTATTTTTATCTTCTACAGCAAGGTCTGGTTGAGTTTTATTCACGCCGCACTGAAAGTCAGAGAGATTGGGCATCTTTTAAAACATTAATTAAATGGTCTGTGGCAGGACTTGGTGCAATCACACTGGTAGCATTTCTCGCACACAAAAAAAAAATCATAAAGTTTAATCATTTGTTATGGTGACTGTTACAATGAAGACATACATAAAATTATAGCACATTTCTACTCTTAAGTCGTTGAATAAAGCCAAACATTTGTAGCGTTATACATTTTATGGTGTGTTTTTTTTTCTTCTCCTCCGCCCTCCCCGTACCCATCCCAACCCTTATGTCGGATGTTGCGGTGATGTAAATCTGTTGGTTTTTTTTCCATGTGTTCCATGCATTAAATATTAAACACTATACATCTATACTCAATACAAGTTATACTTCATGCACAATTAACAAACACAATTAATCACAAAAGGCGATTTAAAATGTATTTTAAATTTTATTTATTAAAAACAACCCCATTAACATACAGTCATAAAAATGTGTTATTTATATATCTACATTAGTATAAGGTGTCGTTAAAGTCATGGTTAAA